GGTGCCTTTCTATCAGTCTCTGACTGGAGATCTGTATGTCTGATCTCTGTGAAAGCGCTCTCCAGGACATCATCTTCAAAAGTCTCGAAACGAAACGTCTGCCGCTCAATCACCCACATACTCAGCAAAGCGATGTGATGACCTTTACCTTGCAGGCGATAAACCTGTTTTCTGGTGCTCGTAAAGATATTGTTCAAGTTGTCGTCGCGCATCCTCGAGCCCTGCTCTCTCAGCTGCCGACGCAGTGCAGTGCGCTGGGGCTCACGATACTCACTCGTAACGATGTCCAGAAGCCCAGTAGTCCGCCAGAGATGAAGAGACTCGATGACGCAAATGAAATTTTAAAGTCTTTCCCGACGTAATCCGGGTACACGGCACCACAATTTGTAATATAGTTCTTGGTTTACGAGTCTTTCTCGTTGCAGAAGTGCCTGCAACTAAACTACTGCACTGGCGGAACACCTTACTGGCACTGGCACTGGCGCGGTCGATCTGGCCAGCTGATGCAGATCAGCGACGGCACGCAGATCATCCATGCTCTGACCCAGAACATAATTAGCCGCGTTTTTGTCGGAACCGCTGACATCTTGACAGGCCTTCAAGAGAGAGTGGTGCTCGTGCTTATGGTAGTCCCTCTGATGTCCGACCGTTTGATAGCCCTGTGGTGCACGTGCAAAATTCAGTCCCTGTGCTGCCCGCTCTAGTGCGAGTCCCTGTGAGCCCTGCACAAGTGACACTGACACCACTGGATTCTGAAAGGACTGTTTAGGGAGAGTCCTCCTTGGGACTTACTCAGACGTTTTACAAAGGGAGGCTCCCCAGAGGGTAGACACCCTGAGGGAATCTTCCGAGATGATTGCTCTAGAGAAGTTTCCCAGAGGACTTTGAAACGCTGTATCACCGACATTGTGCCTACCTTGTTGCTCTCCTCAACATGCAAGTTTTTTCTGGTTTTCGTCCACTGAGTCATTCTTGCATGAGGTATGTGAAATGCACAATACGTTTTCTTCGTTGTGTCGTCCCAGCCCCAGGTGTATCTGATTGTGATCAAAGCCCCTTTGGGGCGGGCTGCCTCGCCTCGCCTTGGACCCATGCCTTGTGGCGACTCTTGCTCCAGCCACCTAACGAAAAACGGATACTTTGATGACACCGTGTTGCATTTTCTACTCTGAAACTGTCTTCTTGGTTTTGGACCGTTGATCCTTTTTCTTCTTGTTTCTGTTTTCTTCGGACCGCCGTTTCTCGCAATTTACCCATACCTCCGCTAAGTTCATGGTCTTCATTTACTGGAGACTCAATGTATTTATACCATTTGTTGTGCGTTTTCCTTCAGTGGTATCTCACTTGCTGGTTTTCTGTCCACTACGGATCCGTCATTTGCCTTTTGAACGCCCGGGCGTGCCGTCTCATCAGACCAGCCAACACCCCGACCGCTGGTTACTGTGCTAGTCAAGTAGTCATATTTTGCCTAGTATGGCGTTGCCGCTCACTATTTTCTGTGGATTCTGTTCAATGTTCGATTCCGATTTCTCTTTCTACGTGCGGTGTCGCAGATGCTTCTGCCAATTTGTCGTCTCGTGTTGCGTTTTGAGATTGTTCTGCGATTCACTGACGCGAGGGGGGGCAGATAAACAGAGGAGAAAGCTGAGAGTCGGGGGCGTTTTGGCCCAGATACCAGTCTCTAGATTGCGGTATAACTCCGGCGGAAGTTAGAGAAATGTCTTCACCCTGAGACGAGGGCCCTCGTGCTGCGGAACGGCAGCCCGGTGGTGCGGCTGACCAGGCGGCGCTGGTTGGCGTTGAGCCAGCGCAGGATGGCCTACTCTGCGGGGCTCCACCGGCTGAAGTGTTGTCCGCAGCGGCTCCCGTCGGCGGCCGGTGTTCCTCGCCTGGAGCCGGTCCGAATTCCTGGCATACTTGATGGCAGATATTAACCTCAACCACTGTCAACTCCATCGGTCAGCACTCCAAAAGATCGGCCAATCATATATTCGCCCAAGATCGCCCACCAGACCTAGCATCGCTAGCCAAAAGTGCACAATCCACAACAGTTAGGTACGTTGCTAGGCAAATGTTGAAAAGTTATCACGTGAAAACAGTCATCCAGGCCCAACACGATTGGTTGATCGAAAACAGCTTTTCTCGGCATCTTTCGGTCACACTGAGCATTTCACATTTGTGTTCACCAAACGCTGATGAACCCTTGCCCGAGTCTTATCAACAGAGGAAGCGGGGCCTTCTTGGTCCGGAGATGCCTGAGTGTCTCCGGGTGAGGCGCCGGGTGATGCCGATGGTGACGATGACTCAGAGCACGCCTACAGAGGACGGGCGGACCAAGTTTGGCAACCAGCGCGCCTGCTCCTCCACACGTGTCTTGAAGAGGTGAGATCTGTGAAGGGTGCGGTTCTTTTGGCTGCACCCTTGTCGCCAGTCGGAACGGTTTGTTCTTTTCTTGCACAAAAAAGAGCTTCGCTTAATTGCGACACACTGGCTAGCTTTCACCATGGTTTAGAATTGATAACGGATCATGGCTCATGGAACAACAGACTGTGAATCGTAAATGAGGTTTGCGGTTTGTGGCTCAATAGTTCTTACATTCGCCTCCAAAGCTCATTTCGATATCCATTTAATAAATGTTCAAATGCTCATCTTGCAATCATTTATTCAGTGGGCCTACCAAAAGACTTCATTTGTCGCCTTTGTAAGTTTTGTCGATTCCTCGAATGTCAGATGTCAAAGACCCTCATTGACATGAGCTCGAGCCGTCGAACTTTGAAACTATTGTCTTGAAATGGTGACCTTTTGTTTTTCCTTTTCAGAAACTGAAGGACTGGGTGGAAGCTACCGCTGCACCCATGTCGCCTGTCGCGGCACCCGTGAGGATGACGAACGGCTGAGGAGGACGCTGGTGCTGTGGCAGCGTCGGCCATCTTCTCTGGTCTTCAGCGACGGGGTTCCTGCTGTTACCATTCGTGTGGTTAGGGGCGCATAACGACCTCGCCGTCAGTGCGACCCTAGCCCTAGCAAGCAAGGGTTGTTCTAGCAGTAGCATTATTTAACACGCGCAGTGGAAGGGGGGGCGGATTTCGCCCTCCCCTCCGGTTTTTCGCCAATAACTCGCGCCGTAAACCTAATATTAATGTGAAATTTTGGCTACCTGTCCAAAATTGAATTGTGGATCTTCTCGTGCAAGAAATAAGAAAATCGGTTCACAACTTTTCTAGTAATAGCGGTGTAAAGTCAAACATCCTGCCGCCGCGGCGGCGCGGCGGCCGGCGCTAGCCGTTACGCGCCGCCTGAATTGTAGACTGTGCCGGGGCGGGACGGTTCCGTCTTTACATCGCGCTCCTTACCGCTGATTACATTAGATTTGCGTCAAATTTGGTGAAAAGACTGAGAAATGTACAGGCAATCATATGGTCAAATAATTTTGAAAATCGGCCGGTAAATACTTGAGTTATGAGTGTGTAACAAAATTGTGATTGCCGCGTTTCCCGCGTCGGCCGATCCCGCTTCAGCCGGCGACATCTTACCCTTAGCAGGCTTCCAACTGCCATATTTAAAGTTGGATTAACTAGAAATTCACCATAGATACTCACAAATGTTCGGTCTTTTGTATAATGAAAGAAAAAAGAAAATCGGCCGGTAACTTTTTGAGTTATCGGCGTGTAAACGCAAAAAAGTCGCTAATAAATATGGCAGATTTGACCACTTTTGACCTTATTTGACCTTGAAGATATTGACCTAGGGTCATGAAATTCACACACAACAGAGTTCCCCATGGCCCCCACCTACCCTCCAAATTTCGTCTTTCTAGCTCCAGTGGGAGCTGATATCTTAGGGGGGGGGGCGACATCCGCCCCCCCCCCCCCCTTCCACTGGGCGTAGTACTCGCAACCCTTCCACTGCGCGTGTTAACCCATTTACGTAAGCCTTTTTTGTTAGTTTTTGTTTCTTCTGATGAGACCTGAACATCTCAAATTTCTTTTATCCTTGATGAGTCTAAGCTGCTAATGAGTGTAAGTGTTAAATCAGTTCGATTTTCACGTGCTTGAAGCTCATAGGCTGAGACGCTGCCTCACGGCTGTGTATTTAACCTGTTGGAGGATGTCATGCTCGCAGTCTGGCAAACGTAAGAATGAAACTGTGTCAATGTGGTTGAGTCCATTCGCACGTGTACGTGTTTCAATCAGTGCACGTAGACCAGAAATGTCTGCCCGTCTTAAAAGTCTAACAGGAAATTGAGAAATGCTCTCAGACCTATGCAGAAATTATTCATGCTGGTGCATGGGCCAATGTTTTTCGCTTTATCTCTTGCTTATGTTCGCCAGACTGCAGCGCCGTCATCGCGGCACCGTATCACAACTTGGTTTAATGTTAATAGGTGGCGCCAGCGGTGCTATGGCAGTGCTGTGACCGAGTGGCGCACATGCCTTTACCGAAGTTCTCTTATGATGACCCGCTTTTGTTTTCCCAGCAATATTTAGCTTTTCAGCTTATATTCTCTGATAGATGCTGCTGTTCTTTTGGAGGAGCTGGTCGGCTCGTCTGTGACACGTGGCAGCAGTTTCCGTCCTGGGGTTTCGTTTTGTGGGACATCTTGACGGCAGTCGTGGCTACCGATACTCGCTCCCGTCTCACACGTGATGGAACGGTGATACCCATCGTACCAATGTCATTACAGCCTTCACTGGAGCGTGAATACTGACTGGCGTGACCAGTGACTTTTCATCCTCGGCATATTGGAGAGACATCATTTTTGGCACGATTCATATGTTCGTCGGAACATTTGCAGCTTAATGATGAAATAGGTGTTTTAAAGATGACAACTACGAAACGATTCTTCAACGAATTTGCATTTCGAAACCATTCCATTTCGTGGTTTCACTCGTGGTGCCGTTTTCTAAAATAAGTCATACCTGGTCTGCACGTCCTCTGAAAAGCCTGGTCCGCACCACCGCCGTTCCGTATTGTAGATTACATAAAAACAACTATTCACACGATATTAGTTCATAGAATATCATATATGGCATGGAAAGGCACATGACAACAGACGTTTCGCACTGCACATGCTCAGTCTAATTAATAGACGTCGTGATCGCGTGTACAAGCTTCTGAATCGGTACACGAACGTGTATGAAAAGGTCGAGTCACCGGAGGCTTGAAACGTTCTTATTGCTGTCGAGGATACCAGGTCTGGCCCACTGTCACGCCGCATCACGCGGTAAGTGGACTCCTGGACGCTGAGACCCGTCCACACCCCTGTTCTGTCCGTCACAGCGGCCGTGGAGAGCTGGCGGGTCATCAGCCTCTCCATCATGGCCGCCAGACGCTCCTCGCGCTGGGCGGACAGCTCCGCCTGCTGGAGCAGCAGCGCCGACAGTTTATCGAAATCACTCATGTCTATAGATTATAAAACTCAATCACTTAATCACAACACCGACCGCGCCATGTTCTGTTTCTGTTCGTCGGTTCAGAGTGAGAGAGGAATAATAAGAACTAAAGCGATTTATTGGACCGTGATCCGAGCGAGGCCGAGATATATACACAAAGACAAGTATGGCGTTGGTTATGGAATAAAATAATAGTTAAAAGTGATAAAAATGGTGCGACACCCGGGACGAAGTATTTTTCCATTTATCACAGAACAATGGCAACGGGCCGGAAACTTAGCTGTGGCTCTTTCGAACGACCGCGAAGAGAACTATAATTGGCAAACAATAACTTGAGTTGGCGCCAGTTGTGAAAGTCAATAACACAATCACCGCTTAATGGCCTAATCACAGACGCTGTACTGCGTCACACCCCGTCCACACGACCGCTCAGATGCGCAGCCACCCGGGGAACCAGTTGGATGCCCCGATCCTCTCATACCCCTTCCGCGTCAGGTGTAGGTACACCGTCAGTGCGGTGGTAGCCCTCATCCGCTCGAACCGCGCGCGCGTTCTTCGTTCACTTCACTTTGCCCCGGTCTCCGTATAGCATAGCTATAGCAATGTTTAATGATGGGTCACGAATCTTCATTTCGGTCTACGGGGATTCAAAAGACGAATACCTACCAATGATGATAATAGTACTGTAACACTACAGTACCTTTAGTAATACTATTATTATTATTATGCTGTTACTGTAGAAGAAGGTAATAAAATAAATGTCGAACAATTATTTGAGGCCTGCACAATGCAGTTTGCAGGCTTCTGTAATACTTATTAGTGTTGTGACATGACACAGATTCACACTGAATGCGGAGCGGAACAGATGCGGTGTTCGGGTTAATGACGTGACAGCGGCTCGGTGCACATGTCTCCGACCCACATCACCGTGATCGTGTGTAGATTACTTAGATAGGTCTGGTTTTCATTTCGGTCCTTTTCAGGGAGTTCTATCGCCCTCCACGGCATTGAAAGGCATAAAAATGGTTACAATAGTCGCAGCCCGCAGGCGCTGGAGTGACCCATATCACTGCCCGACCCCCCCCCCTGCACCAACGCTTCTGGTGGGGGGGGGATTAGTTAACTCCTCGGCGTAATGTATTTTACAATATGCAAGATACATGCCTGTGCCCATTACAATTCGTTGATCTTTTTAGACACGAGTTTTCTGCAAGACACCGTGAGTGCCAAGTATCAATGTTAATTAGTATAAACAAGTAAGTTTTTGCGAAGCATACCTAGAACACTGAGTAGCAACCAGTAATAGCATAACAAAACGTAAGGTCTGTCATGTGCTTCTGACAGATGAATGTTGAGCAAAAGCAAATTTCATTCCCGCACAATGCAGACTGCAAGCATATTACTACACCAAACACAGGTTTTTATAATATGACACTGACACAAATCTACAGAACTGAACACTAAGCATCTACACACGCACACACTGCGGTGTTCGGGCTTATGGCCGTGACTGCCGCACAGTGCGAGTGTCACGGACATGCACCGCTTTGGTGTTAACCATTGAGTGAAGATCCCTTAGGTCGGCCTGATTTTCATCTCTGTCTTCTTCAGCGACTCCATGGCCCTCCACGGGAACCACCAGATTCCGGTGCGGGAGCCGCCGCTGGCCTTCGAGTACCGTCCGTTCAGGTTGCTGAGCCCGCACCACTGGCCGTGCCACCAGGCGCCGCGGTGCACGCGGGCGCAGCTCAGCGTGGACAGATGGTCGCTGTCGCGGTCCTCAGTGGAGAACTGGTAGTTGACGTTCTCCATCAGACCGTCCCCGGCAGTTCCCGAGTAGTTGGTGACGCTCAGTCTGTAGCCGTCCACCTCAGAGGAGATGCGGAACCCTTGGTATATAGCGTATGATCGATTACCGTCAAATGCCTCGAGATCAATACGGAGCTCGTACTGTCGGCCTAATGACGTTAGCTGATAAAGGTGTTCTAGGCCCCACCAGAACAGTGGCGGATCCTGGGGGGGGTCCACGGGGTCATGACCCCCCCCAAAAGGTCTGAGAGGGTCATTTGACCCCCCCCAAAAGCCGAAGACCTAAATGCGCTATAGACGCCGTCTTGCATGCTCAAAATCACATGTCAAACACTTCTGAGCTAATACCTTTGTTTTTCTGGATCGTGTTGCGTGAAAAGGCGTATTGAAGGCCAGAATCTTACTCATTTTTGTCTCAACCGTGCGAGCACCAGGGGATGATCCAGGAAAACTCCAAGGGGATGGTCATGAATTTAATTCGTGGTGCCCCTACCTATACGCAAAATTAAAAACTCAACGGATTTCGGCCACTTAATTCTGGTGATGTCCTATTTCCATTTTTTTATTTTGTTTGTTTTATTTTTAGTGCCCCTGGGCCCTGGCAGGTCAAAATCACGTCGGAGGCGAAAGAAATTCACGGGAATCCCAAAAATCACGTCAGGACATTCAGGGCACTCTGACCAGCCTGACAGCTAGGGCCCTTCTTACTTCCTGGGGCCTCCAGTGAATAACCGCTAGTGTCTGTGTCGGCCCCTCTGACTCCTCAGTAGGTAGGAGGCCCTCTGTAGAGGAGACCCTCTGTGGAAAGGAGACCGCCTGAATGCAGAAGGCCCTCTGAAGAGAGGAGACCCGCTGTAGAGAGAAGGCCCTCTGAAGAAAGGAGGCTCTCTGTAGAGAAGAGGCCCTCTGAAGAGAGGAAGCCCTTTGCAGAGATGAGGTCCTCTGGCTCTTTGAAGAGAGGAGGTCCTCTGTAAAGGAGGCCCTCTGAAAGGGAGAGACCCTCAGTAGAGAGGAAGCCCTCTGTAGAGAGGAAGCCTTCTGTAGTTAAGAGGCCCTGTGAAAAGAGGAGGCCCGCAGTAGAGATCGGTGGTCCTCTGTAGAGAGGAGACCCCCTCTGTGTTTTGACAAATGTTTTTGCAAATTTTTCGCGGCGCTTCGCGCCGCCGATTCATGTACATACGTACAGGTCAATATGAAATCGTGACTGTAATTACATAAACCAACCGTGTCAAATTGAATCAGAATTCATATGTGTACCTACTGTGAAGAAACTCCGGCTTGTACTGCCATGCTAAAAGGGTGGTAAAATTTGTGTTTTGGAGCGGAGCTGTGTTTTGACACATTCTTTTGCAAATGTTCTCGGCGCTTCGCGCCGCCGATTTATACACCAATCAATAAGAGAGATCGTGACTGTAATAACACCAACCGTGTCAAATTGAATCGGAATTCATATGTGCACTGTGAAGGAACTCCGGCTTGTACTAGCATGCTAAAAGGGTTGTAATATTTGTGTTTTAGAGCTGTGTTTTGACAACTTTTTTCAAATTTTTGCGGCGCTTCGCGCCGCCGATTCATACACAGGTCAATAAGAGAGATCGTGACTGTATGCTACTAATGCATTGGGCATTAGACTAATGCATAAGTGAGGTAACTATATCTACTACTTCTGGGTTTTTAAGTCGGTCGATCCGCCCCCCCCCCCAGTAAAAAAATCCGTGGCGACGCTCCTCTATAGGTGGGTTTCACTAACTAAAACTACTGAGCCGAGTGACTTACGATAAAACTTCAACTCAGAAACGACGAAGATCAAATGTCATTTGATCTCGACATACTCGCTCCCTACCCCCCCCCCCCCCGGTCGTCAGAATTCATTCATCAGACCTGGCATGTCGGCCGACTGGTGACCCCCCCCCAAAACGTTCCCCTAGATCCGCCCTTGCACCAGAATTCCTGGGCTACATTACCAAATCCCTCCTTGTAGTCGGTCCATCCGAGGTAGAAGTCCTGCCGAGGTTCGATGTCCGCCCGTCGCTGGATCACAGTCCAGTTCCCTCCGGCAGTGTCCATGTCGCAGTACGCCTCGACGGGTGACTGTTTGCTGTCATTGCTGGGCTGAAGGAGGTAGGTTCCAGATGTGGAGCCGACGTGCAGGTCACTGCAATCGCGCGCAGCGGTCTGGGCTGCCCTGGCAGGAGGGCGGTCAGCGCTGCATCTCCTTTGGACCGTCCCCTGGCTGTCCGTCGACCGGGCTCCTCGCACGTTGGAGAAGGAGTCCAGGCTTCCGAACAGCGCTGCGTGGTCATGTGCCGGCGCTGCTGAGGTGTCTTCAGCGGACTCCTGTTCGGGCTCGCTGTTGGAGTCATCCAGTAATTCTGGCCACAGGCTGTCGAGCCGTGAACCGAGTCTCCGTGTTAGGCTGATTGCCGGACGCCGGACGCCAAAATGCACACGCGGGTTGGTGTCCTCGTTGGATGGGCCTGTGGCGGGCTCCTCCGAGGCTAGCCCGTTGAGTTGTGCCCTGACCTCGTTCAGCTGCGACTGCTGACTGGCCAGCTGGCTGGATAGCTGTTCGGTCTTCTGACTCTGTCCGTTTTTCAGGGTCTGGGTGGTCAGCACGGAGACCATCGACTCGAGCAGACTCTGGCGGCTGTTCATCGACTCCATCTGCGACTCGAGTTTGCTGACGGCGGGCCGCAGCTCCCGCTGAACGGCCAGCGATATGATGCTGAACACGCCGTTGATGCTGGCGCCGGGCACGCTGGGTGGCGGCTCCGGTCGCGGCTCCGGCTCCGGCTCCAGCAGTACGCCGCAGCCACACGATGCCGCCAGTGCGGCTGACAGCAGCACCCCGACACAGCTCCAGCGCGCGGCCATGGCGGAGGGAGGAGACGACGCCGACTGGCTGCCGACCGCGGCCGGACTGCCGGCGCGGGCAGCGCGGGACGGCAGCAGGGCTCGGCTGACGTCTGCCCCAGGGGCCACATCCGGCGGCCGGCCAGCTGGGGCCGACAACAAACAATGGTGGCTGCCCAGGGACTGGATACCCGGATACTGGACTCTCTCGGCTCCCTGGCCGCCGACCGTCCAAGAACATCCTAGAAGGACTTGTGAAATGGTATGCCGTTGTTGCGGATTTAGGTAACTGATAGCATTTCATACGTCGGAAGATGTGCAGCTGATGCTTGTTCTTGATGCTTAGCAAAGCTAAGACAGAATGGATTAAATGTGCAACAGCTATTGATGCACGTCTCTGTAGTTCCTCTAAAATTTCGAGCACTCCTGTGGCGGGCTATCTTGGAAGTGCTTCAAGGCGCTTTAGGTCACTTTTTCCTAAGGTTTGCAGACTATGATTGCATTTTCAACTGAGTTTGGCGATTACGTTTATAGATAAGTTGCATACCAGGCAATTATAGGCTAATATACATTATGATCATGTAATCTTGTAGCCTTGTATTCACAGTTGTCTGTTAATTAGCTGACGACTGTCCACGTCAAAGCCACTGCCTTGCGAGTTGCGACCCTGGTGCGTCGCGCGTCTGTGTCTGATGCGCTTCTGGTTCCAGTCTCCTCCATGTTATCACATTTGCTTCGCCCAGCCCTCGTTAGTGCGCCGGGGCAATGTGTCACGTCGTCCGTGCGTTCATGTTCCCAATTCTGTTCTACATATTAATTGCGAGGTCGCCCGAACGTTGTGTGTTCTGTAACGGTTTCAACCGACGGAATGCCGGCCAATTTACAACTGTTTTAATGTGTGTACCTACTGTTCAATATGTTCAAATCAAAATGTTTACTTTGTTTAATACATTTTCGCTTTGACTAAATGTACTTTTTAGTTATGAGCTCTGCGACACTACTGAATTGGTCACACTACCTTGATGAAGAATGCGATCTGGGTGTCAGGATGGGTCAAAGATATGCCTACCACCAACCGTGCATCGCGGATGCTGCCCGATCCTGACCTTTCCAGTGTAAATAAGCTGCTCTCTCGGGATGTCTGGGGTTTGACCTATGTCGCCATTGGTGGATGACCACCGCCCTGCGACGACGTCAACCCCTCTTTGTGCAGCCGATACGCCACAACACAGCAGCAAAAGCAGCCGGAATGGCTCGGCGAACCCGGCGAACATACACATGACTACATAGAAATAAACCAGTATAGAGCTGCGCGGGCGTTTCCAACAATGGATGACAATAAGCAATGACATCTTGAATCCTGGGAGTAGGGAGGGAGGAGCACACAAGTACTGCGCACCGATGCGCCACGAATGGGTTAGTTCATCCTGCTGCTTCAGCCTACTGATGACAAAATGGAGATAAATCGTGTTGCCGTCAGCACCAACATTATGCTTTTCACTGTCTCCAATGACTCCAGTTATTGAAAATGACATGCATAGCACTATATATGCCTAAATATTTATTGATCTTTGCCCAAGCATGGTAAACTTGGGAGAAAAATAGGAAATCGAAATCAGCTCGCATGCCGCCAGTGCAGAATCTGCCTACACCAACACTACAAACTAAAATTTAGAGCATTGCCTCGGGAAGCACTCCCGGCGATGCTATAGCCTCACAGGCTCGTTTGCTCAAATTGCCCGTTAATTAGCGAGTCCAGTGTTTGCCCTGTCAGGTCGTGCGCATGGATGGCGCACGGTGCGTTTATCCTGCTGTGAGGTGCAATAACTGGCGGGAACTACGGCTGTTTTCACCTTTTTTCTCAGATGCACACGTTTTTCAGCGTGCTCGTGGCGACACTGGGACTGCAGAAGGCCCACTGCTGAAGGCCAGCTCGGAAAGTCGGGACAGCGATCAGCAAACAGGGCACTCAGACATCACCAAGAATAGCTCGAAAAACCTAGGCGTGTGATCAGTTTCACCGAAGTAATAGAAAACCGGTGTGCTACGCTCCAATCTACACGCAGGTACCCAGCTTCCAACGACCTATATGCTATGGCCTATGGGCACCCTGATATGAACGTCGCCAGTGTTTATTTACCTGTGGCTTGCGGTGCGGCAGAATCGCCGCTTCCCCCGCTGCACGGTGTGAGAACTGCGCCACTATTGTATAAAACTCCCGGTGACACGTCCGCGGCCAAACGACGCGTCGTTTTTGTCGCCCCAGCCGCGCCGTTTTTGACGCTGCGTGACTCTTCGCCATGCATGCCACTGATGCGCCGCGATTCTCACTGGCTGCTCGAACGGGGTGCAGCCGGACAGGCATTGATGCCGCATGTCTAAAGACCTGCTCCATGTTACCTAAGTACCTACGCCACTACCCTACGCCATCAGGATATTTTGGAGACTGAGCAAACCGAGTGGCGAGCGCTTCTGCTTACGGTTGCATGAAAAAAAAACGATGCACCATTTACTCGGTAGCGGCGGTGGTATAGAACAAATTGTGTTTATTGGAGCGAAATCAGTTGACTTTGCGGTGATACCAGTCAGGCGTGTGTGTGAAGTTTCAATACAATACTGCCACAACACTTATTTTACAATGCTCGCATAATTTATCGCCCATCGTTATGCCTACCCATAGACCACTAGGTATATACCACTATATAGTAGGTATATAGTGGTCTATGGCCTAGCTCATAAGGCGCACAGTTCCTTCATTCATTCATTCATTCATTCATTCATTCATTCATTGATCATCATTCAAGTGAAGTCCGACACTGTTCTCAGCTTACGCCGTTGAACCATTTAATTTACACCAGCTCAATTATCACAAATAAAAAAAAACATCCAATTAGCAAACCAAGCACTTCGCTCTTTGAGTATTTACTCATGCACCAATCATCACATTACAGCACAGCATCAGCTCATGCCGGGCGACCTTGACCCAGCACGGGTCGACGCGCCGCTCAGCTGACGGTAGCCTCTCAGCAGGCTCCCGCTGCCGCTCAGCTGGCGGTAACCTCGCAGCAGGCCTCTGGGGCGGTGACCCCGTCCACCAGCAGCTGCACAGCTGTACCGAGCAGCAGCGGCCTGCTTCCCCCGGCCACCACGCTCCAGTCCAGCGAGGTCTCCTGAAAGGTGACGGCCGTGCCAGCGCTGGTGGGTCCCGAGCTGACCAGCGCCGGGCTCTCCGGGCTGGCTAGGCCGGCAGAGACGTCCGCGCAGGGCACGGAGTACACCAGGAGGCTGGTGGAGCCGGCGGGAACTGAAACAGGCGCCGCCGGTCAGCGGGCGCCGTCAGACAGGACTGCCGCCGGTCAGCGGGGCCGTAAAACAGAACTGCCGCCGGTCAGTGGCGCCGTCAGACAGGACTGCCGGTCAGCGGGCGCCGTCAGACAGGACTGCCGCCGGTCAGCGGGCGCCGTAAAACAGAACTGCCGCCGGTCAGTGGCGCCGTCAGACAGGACTGCCGGTCAGCGGGCGCCGTCAGACAGGACTGCCGCCGGTCAGCGGGGCCGTAAAACAGAACTGCCGCCGGTCAGTGGCGCCGTCAGACAGGACTGCCGGTCAGCGGGCGCCGTCAGACAGGACTGCCGCCGGTCAGCGGGCGCCGTAAAACAGAACTGCCGCCGGTCAGTGGCGCCGTCAGACAGGACTGCCGGTCAGCGGGCGCCGTCAGACAGGACTGCCGCCGGTCAGCGGGCGCCGTAAAACAGAACTGCCGCCGGTCAGCGGGCGCCGTCAGATCGGACTGCCGCCGGGCGGGGGAACAGCATAGGACCTCTAGACTCGCGTCACAGACTGTTGACCGTAGTCTTATTTATGGAAATAACCAATAGACGACGCTAATTTTGACATAACCTAAAGAGCCTCTTTTGACAGTTCTTCACTTGTGTGTCGTCTGCTTTATCTACCCACCTGATTACTTTCCCTATTTGTTAACTGAGCGGAATACCTATTTGTTCGTTATAAGAAACTTGGTCCAAATGGATGAATGGATGGCTTTCGGCCCGGATGTCATGCTAAGCGGTGCTTGTAGTGAGTGAAACCGCAAACCCCCGCCCCCCCCCCCCCCCGGACACGTTTCACCGGATACCGATACCTAATTTCAATCGAAATTCCAGCGTAACCCAGGAAGATGGCGAAATGACAGAAATAGGTACCTGCAATATTTTCATGTGAGCTTTCGAATGGCCTTTGCTGCCTCTCGTTGTGCTGCTTAGCTTTCGAGATTTCCTAAGCCAGGCTGCTGCTCCGATTACCCTCCCACCGTTCTTACGAAGGTGCCACACTGCCAGTCTTCAGAGTGCTTGTCCGAGCGCGCGTTTAACTGTCCATTAACCCTATTAGTGGCAGGGGGGGTTGTTTTTATCCACCCCTCAGGTTTTTCGGGAATATCTCCGAAACCGCTGAAGCTACGATGCTGAAATTTTCTGACTTCTCCTAAAACTAAATTGGGCACATTCCCTGAAAATTTCAAGTTCATAACTTTACCAGGGGCGGCTCCAGAGCACTGGGAATAGGGGGTCCTATTCGTGAAGCGAGTCATTTGGGCGAAGATCACGATGCTGCACCAGTTTTACGAACAGACAAACAGTGAATGAAAGGTATCATGTGATAACATATACAAAGTTATTGTGCATCCTCTTTTGACACGTTTTTGCTATAATAGGCGGATCCAGGCGTCCAAAAAGGGGGGTTATGTTTTACCTCCCAACATAGGTGCCCTGACACCGCCTATGCATGACCAATACAATGGTAGTCGTTCTCTCATAAGAAAATTGTAACATAACAAGACCATTACCACCCTTTTTAGAAACAGTACCAACAAAAACCTTATTTACTATACTTTGTGTGTACCCCCAATCTCAATGATCTGTATCCGCCTATGATTTTTGAAAATGCATATTTTTAGGATCCATGTGAATTCCTGGTTCATTCTCTATCGATCGGCAAAAGTTGCGTTAAGATTGGTTCAGAAACCTGGCCGTGATAAACAGTCTAAAATGTATCTGCAATTTGCCCGTTTTAACCCCCCTCTACCCCCCCCCTATTGACATTTTTTAATTTTTATTTTTTAGAAATGTAGATCACGTTTAGCGAAATCGAATGCCGTTTGAATTTTGAAAATCGGCCCGTTAGATCTCGAGATATCAAGGGGGGGGGGTAAACAGCCCCCCTGCCACTAATAGGGGTAGCCAGGAGCCTGCCACTAATAGGGTTAATAAACTACAAAGATCATTGGCCAATGATCTTTGACTAGTGTATACAAAAAAGTCGTATAGTCGTATAGCTTGTCGGAACCAGAGTGACACGTGACGGGTTTAGTTAATTATTTTATTTATTTTTATATAACCGACCCGACATTAAATTTATTGGATGACATTCCTAATCGACAGCACTCCAAAGATTCGCCATAAAACAGTGGAACTTTATTTCGGCATATCTTACAAACTTTTTTCATTATTGGCCTTTTACAGCAGCACACAGCTAAATCAAATGATAAATCCACAATTAGGTTCAGCGAAACTTTTACTCAGGGTCGATCAACTTGGCTACAAAAAAGCACATGCGCAAATCATATAAGCTTTTATGACGAACCGACAACGCGCCTCTACTTTCTACACAGGAAAACCACCAAACTGCTACATAATTCTTGTAACGATGCAGCAGCCCCCGGGCAGCGGAACGTCATTTTTCAGCATCTGGACGGCTCGACCAATCAGCAGCGTGCGCGCCGCGCTGCCCCCTGACGTCAGCGAGAAGCCGGCCACTGATTGGCGGGGAATGCTGAGCACTCCGGCGGTGGCGACCGCTGGTAGGCTGGCCGCCGGCGAGGGCGGGGCGAACGGAGCAGCCGCCGGGCACGTGCCGCCCGTTGACACGGACAAGGTCGGCCGGTCGTTGACCAATAGCAGCGCTGGAAATATAGGGCGGGTGCTTTTAGTGGTCCGCCAGACTTTTATGTAACGTTCACGGACAAAGTCATTTTAGTGCATTAGTTCAAGGGCGAATGAGGGTATTTACAAAAAAAAAAAAAACGCTGAGAAAAACATATGTATATGACTGTGACGTGCATACAAGACATGATGCTTTAATAAGAAATGGTTAAATAAAGGAAGAAAATGGCATGCCAACTATTACGTGGTTTGGCTGGGCACACAAAGACCACAAAGTGTAACGAATAAAGAGACGAGAACGGGAACTGACCTGTTTGAGGCGCGGTGCTCCACGCTCGATTGGCACAACACTCAGGAGTGGCACAGGAAAAACTCGTGGAAACCAGCGTTGAGTCAAAGTTGTTAGTTGAGTAGTACGACCGAGAGAAAAATCCCGTAGCTCGGACATTAGACGGAAACGTAAAGAATACAACGAGCGAAACATTAACAAAAGGCGCGAAACATGCGACCAAAAACAATATAGCAGAATGAAATTAATTAAAACTCAGGGTTTTGCATTAGTTTATCCACTAAGCGTAGAAAAGGTGCGGCACAATCTGTAAACAATGTTTTTATTTGTACACATTTGAAAATAAATGGGACAAGACGACCTAAACTTTCGAATAAAACGATGTCGGATGATGTTTCACAATCTCATATTAGTGTAGAGAGCGCAAAGCCAAACCCCCCATGTTAGGTAACGTTAAAACGAAAGAGTTTCGAGTTTCCGAGAATGACATTGCAATCCACGAACATATATGTAAGGCATGTAAGAATACGGTGCAGTTATCTAGCACTACTCCCAATTGATCAATAGCTCAAACTTTAGTGAAGAAACGACTTTGTCTTTCGTCAGACCCTTCTTTCACCCCAAATTAAATTTTTATTAGAAAAATAAATAAATTAGGTACACTCACTGATACTCCGCATGATATATGGAAAACGTAAAACAGAAGTCCAAAACGTGCTTAACTCACCCCCCTCCCCCTCAAGTGCCCCTCCTCCCCATCACAAACCTGCACTGCCGAAGGCGGCTCCGGTGACGCTGAGCGTCCCATCCACCCCTGTCTGACTGAAGGTCAGCTGCAGGTTGGCCTGGGTCGGCACCAGCGGTGAGGTCATGCACGTGGCCAGCACCTGGGGGGCGGAACAGGGCGGATTTTAACATATTAACTGGGGTGGCGAGATAGCCATGGGGAAGGAGCAGGACAGATTTTATCTTGTTAGCTGTGTCGGTACCTACATACCTACACCATCGGCGAGGTCATACACATTACACACGTAGCCAGAACTTTGGGGGGGGGGGAGTGCACGGGGATGGATTGAGCGCACGGGTGTGTGTGTGGGTGGGGGGGGGGGGGGGGCTGGTGGTGCGCTATCCTTTCAGCCTATGGCTCTGGAGCCTGGAGGCGTCGGAGAAGTTAAAGTCCGAACTTGCATCTGCCTACGAAGTACCAGCTGGACAGCTTATCAACAAATAAAGACGAATGACAAACTCAACAAATGAATGTCAAACCGGCGACCTTTTGAAGCTATTGATACAGCTTTGTAGCAGCAGGAGCATTCATGGAGTGGATTCGAGTCAGACAAAAACCGAAGCAAAACAGCTTGTGTGTGTCTCGCAGAACGCTTAAGATCTTGATGATAATTGCACCCTTTTGTAAAAATTCATATTTCAGGAATTACCTGCTTGAAAATGAAACAGCCAAAACAGTCCTCATTTAATCTGAAATATCTTGAATTGTGGAAGGAACACAGAGGCGGATGCAGCTCAGAGTTTTTTTTTTTGGGGGGGGGCAAACCATAACAATTTATCGATTCTTTCCATGCCTCGTCCATAGGCGTAATGTTAAAATTATGTCGTTTGGGGGGGGGGGCAAATGCCCATTTTACCCCCCCCCCCCTGGATCCGCCACTGAAGGAACATACCTAACAAAGATCGGATCGGTTTCAACCGCCAAACTTTAGACAAGCAGTACCTAATCCGTGTTTCAATGTGCATTGTGCACCTCATTAGGTACTACAATTCCGGAGTGACACTGAGCTGATATTGAGATGCGATTTCCTCGCCACTGACCAGTGTCGCCGCCGTCGTCGTGGTTGTGGTCGTCGTTGTCGTCGTGGTCGTCGTCGCGGCGGCGCTGCGACTGGCCGCTGCCTGGCGAGCCATCTGGTAGTTGGAGAAGGTGACGATGCCGAGAGAGAGGAGAACCAGGATCGAGAGGCCGGCGGCTAGCAGCGTGGGGCCGGGCATCGCGGGGGTCAGCGGGGTGCTCAGAGGTGAGCGGATGTCACCGATGGGGCACGGATGGGTCGAGGGAAGGTCACTGGAGGTCACCGACGGGTTACGGGCGGTCGATGAATGATACTCAGAGATAACTTATGGTAAAGTTTGGCTTTTAGGACACAGGAAAGTCGCCTCCAGCAGTGTTATACCTACAGCGCCACTGAACAGCTTTTGACGGTAAGAGTAAACTTTCTGAACACACAACCATTAACCGTTTTGTCGAAGGAGTTTGGAAGCTGAGAGATAGACAACTGACGGCCGACTGGTCCTTCCCGCTCGCGCCGTACGGGGGAGTCCTCTCTCTGAGGTCGATCGGAGCCGCGCAGGATGTCCCGGAGTGGAGCACAGCCAGACCAAGACTGGCTCCCGGAGACCACCCACGGCGCCGTAACCACTGACCCACTGCCCGCGTCGGCCGGCAAAAAGCGCGGGAAAATCGCCGCGCGCGCTGCACGTGCTGACAGCGTGGGCCGCCCCGCGGCTCGAAAGGCGCTAGTTAGGGCATTTTTGACGCCGGGAAGGTGTGAAGAGTGGGAAAACGGCGCAGTGTGGGAGGCGGAGCTGCGTTTGTTTTGTGGTGGAGAACGATGAGCCCGCGCACGGATGCGTTCAGTAAACGTGATCGTGAAGATGATGAGGTTTAAGTATCCAGAAGCTGCTTTAACGTGGCACGTTTTTAGAGATCAGTGATACCTATAACCTGAACGACGATGCATACACTTTCTAACAGCTCAAAGCAGTGATTATTGATTAGTTAAATACTCAATCGCAGCAGATCATGACAGCATAGTTCAAGTTCACATATAAGATGGCACCACATTTACATAATTTGCCATTAATTCATCTTTTCTGCCCGCTTAAGCCAGTGACATGACATTTCGATTTTGTAATCGGAACGAACAATGCCTGACATTGTTAAAATCAGTCGCTTCCGGCTGGTTCACGCGGAAGTAAAAAATGTGATAAATCAAATCAACAGTTTATTGCAACTTCACTGTGCAATGACCAACGGTTGAAACAACAAACGAACCGATAACAGCTTCCAACCAACAACCTAAATCTCCAATCTACACCGCAGATCTGACTGCGACCGGACTAATGCCGAGAAGCAGTGACGCCTAACGGTGCTTTAGGAACGAACTCACAATCGATTTGGTTCAAGCTGAGAGTGACTCAGATTCTACCCGTTAAATTCCACCCTTTAAACCGGTTGTACCGGGATCATTGTAGCGCGCCACTTGCGCGGTAGTAAGTTAAATGTAGGGAGTCAGGTATTCAGAAGGGTTTCACTCATCTGTTGCTTTACATAAATTAATTTAGCAAAACTCTATCCGCCAGTCCGGCTGAGGCAGAACGCCCACAACCTTTCTGACCGCAACAGAGTTGGTATTGAATAAACACGGCTAAAGGCTAGAAGGAGCTAAAAGCTCACGACCAGAACTCAACCGCAAATATTCAATACAGCGTTACCTGCTCCCAACGAGCTCCAAGCAAGACTGCCGCTGGAACGCGCGGCCAACCCCCCGTCGCCTCCCCACCGCTCGGCACAACGCACACAACCAATCAGCGAACGCGAACGCACTCAGCGCCGTGCCCCAGACGCGTAGGCTAGCCCGCAGCGCACGCGGCCAGCGGCTGGGCCGCACCGCGCCGCCGCCGCCGAGCGAGCGGGGCTGCGGCGGGGAGGGGCGGGGGGAGAGAGATGCACAATGTCCATGGCTACATAATATGATAATATCACATTCTCCCCACCAAATGTGCGTTCGACAACCACATTTTCTAATCCTGTTGCACCACAAGAAACGAAATGCACTTCGCAAGATCACTAATCTACTGCGCTCACATAGAGTCCTCGTTTGACAGGTCCACTGTCCAGCTTACGCGCCATCGCGGAACCGGATCCATGACGGCAGGCCCTCGGCGGCCGCCATTTTCCTGAAGCCCTCCGGGTTGATGTGGATCTGGTCGAGCTCGTACCACTGTCTGCAGTCCGAGACACAGTGGGCGCGTTTCCACAGCTTCTTCGTCAGCTGTCTGCCGACCGGAACGAAGTGTACCTCGCGTGGCAGTGTGTGTTTCAGGTGTCGCTCCGCCGCGTACGCCGCTGTGTCCTCCCATTGGACGGGCAGGATCTCTCCGTCCAGACGCGCAACAGGCCCGAGAACTATCACCGCCTCCGCGATGCCGAGCAGAGCGTCAGTGACTTCCGTGGCGTTACCCGACATCCGGAGCAGAGTCTTGTCAGAGGCGCTGGGGAGACCAGTCAGTCTGCTGTAAATATCATTCCCGGTCATCCAGACGATGGCGCTGCCCAGGCGCCGACCGGCCTCCTCAGCGTCCCGCCTCCAGTCGGCGACCACCTCCAGCAAGTCGTCGTTCAAGCTTGACCATGTGGCTCCGCCCCGCGCGAGATTGATGGTCGCGTCCTCTTCCCGGCGAGACCCAAGACCGCTGACTCTCGCCACAGAGTCGCCGAGTACGACGTGCAGCGGCGGTAGTTGCTGATCCAGCCACGGGCCGGCCTCCTCGTCCATCAGTTGAAGTATTTCGTCCATGTCTACAAAGAAGAAGAACAATCGTTATCAAGGTTCTCACATAGTCAAGGGAGTACTGATGGTTTTTTTTTCGGGTGCGTCACGCACACCAGCAGAGCTTCAAGCCCATACTAACCATATCTTTTGGGTAAAAGAATATCAGGATAGTGGTGATAGTTTTACACACTCATCATTTGTTTTAGTTTTGATCAATTCCCACTGCCTCCAACTGGAACATCTTGTTTATGGGGCGGCGAGTCCGCTTACCGTGCATTTTCAAGTAGGCTGCCCTCACTTTACCATCACTACCTAGAATCAGCTCCGTAACGAGCGCCAGCGGCCAGCGACCTCGCGGGCCCTCCCCAGCGACTAACACCACATCGCACCGCACGAGGCGGTGCGCTGCGTCGTCACCAACACCAACGCCGCACCAAAGGCGGCCGCCAAAGCCAAACAGAAGAAACCGACCGCTCCGGCGCCGTGGGGTCAGGATGAGCTGCCCAACGCGCCGCCTCCCAACTCGCGGGCCATCCGTCCGGACGCGTTCCGCGCCGTCTGTGACACCATGGTACAGGGGCTCGGCAAGAAGCCGCGCAGCATCGGCGCCGACGTGGCCATTTTAGAGAACGGTGACGACCACGACCAGTGCGTGGTGCTGCCCCGCCGCGAGAACCGCGTGATCCTGACGCGAGCTCGTCGGCAGCTGCACCGGCGCATGGCCGGCCTGGTCTCCACGGGTCTCCGTTACCGCGTGGACGCCGAGAAGGCGGCCGATCAGTTGGAGGAGGTGGTGATACGGGAGGCGAACGCTCCACCACCGCTCCCTGTACCATTTCTCGGTTCTGTTGGTCATACAACTTGAACTTCTCCTCACTGAGACGTTGCGTCATCTTTTGAGTTCGAGTCAGCGCACAGAAGTAGTTAGAGACCGGCCTTTCCTCTGACCGCCACAGGAGGCCCATCTCGTACCGTTTCTCTTGTTCATTCCACGTGGGCAGGGAGTGGGACGATGCACCCGAGTCGAGCACCTCCGTCTCGGTGATTCCCACTGTGTCCAGATCCCACATGGCTTGGACTTGTTGGCAGTGAAAGCCTCGTCGCTGTGACTGTGACACATGTTCCTGACCCTGCCGTCCGTGTAGAACATACCCAAATACTGTCTCAATGGCTCGTACCCCCTCACTCATCTCCACCTGTTTCCACAGGATGATCTGGTACAGGTGATCGATGCCAATGAGGATGTCGATCTGAGCGACCGTGCCGTCATCTGCCATGTCCGGTTCGTTCCCTGGATTTGGCGACTGAGGAGTTGGAAGTGTTCCACAGAGCTCATCCGTGCTCCACAGGCTCACCCTCACAGGACAGCCACCAAACCTGCTTTCCAGGTCGACTTCCACTTTATCATATGATCGAGCCTTTTCAGTCTTTTCCTGAAATCCGATACAACAGAAGACTCCCGAGCCTAGTACCGGGAGACCCAGTTCCTCAGCCAGAGAGCTCCTGATGTACGAGGAGTCAGAACCACCGTCTAGGAGGATTCTGATCCTGCGGCTACCGTTCTGTCCAGTAGCGTTCACCACCGCAGTTTGGAAGAAGGTTCTGCACTCTTGAACCCCTCGGGCGACATATTGATGACGCGAGGAGGGCGGTTTCCCTTGGCCTGCCGTCTCTGCCGGAAAAGGCGCCGCGTCGGGCGACAGCATATGCCCAGACTGCGTAGCACCCGCGGCGGGTGAGGAGACACCAGTATTGTGCAGCAGGGTGTGGTGGTATCTTCCACATTTTGAGCAGGAGCTCCTTCTGCACAGTCGGGCGGAATGCCCAGACCCTAAGCATAGGAAGCATGCTCGGGACTTCTTTGCTGCTTCCCAGCGTTCTTCAACTACCAGAGAGTGGAATCTTTTGCAGTCATTTAGACGCTCATGAGTACCTCCACAGATCGCGCAGTTCAACCGCTGAGACCAGCCGGCTTGCTTCGAGGGTGCCCTGCGAGGCTCGCGTTGCACTGTCAGGGAGCTGACTACTGACGGCTGGGATTGAGGCGACTCGGCAGAAGCATGAGACGCTACTCCCTTGGCCGACTCTCGGAGTCGTATCTCTTTGTTCAGAAACTGTAAGAACTCATGGAAAGTGGAACTTTCGAGTCGAGCCCACTCCAGCCGCCAGTCCTCGGGAATCTTGTTCTTCACGATCGGCAGAAGCAAGCTTGAGAAGCTGCTGGATGGCACCCCCAACGTCTCCAAGGCACGAGTGTGAGACGACAAGTGGTCAATGAGGGTGCGCATCCCCTTCAGGTCGCCACTGCGAACCGTGGACATGTTCAAAAGATCCCTCATCAGGGCCTCCTTTCGTTCCTCTTCACGCTCAAAGCGTTCCTTGAGGATGGAGACTGCCTGACTGTAACCATCACCGGTCACAGGGATGCCCTGGATGGGTCGAAGAGCGTCACCCGCCAGGTGTGATTTCAGAATCACGAACTTTTGTATGCTGGCGTAGTTGGCGACGTTGTGGACCGACAACGTGTACAGTTCCCAGAACTCGGGCCACTTGTTCACGTCCCCGTGGAACACCGGTATCTTTACAGTGATTGAAGATTTGAGCTCAGAGTTACACGTGGGGCCCTGTGTCTGGGCCCTTTGAGCTTCATCTAGACGGCTGAGTACACGAGAACCCAGGAAAACCTCGTCTTCGACCGTCTGCAAGTGACTGGATTCGTCGGATTGGCCTAACTTGTCTAGCTGGACCTGGACGTCCCGTAAATCGAGCTGAACCTTTTCCAGATGCTGCAGTTTCAGCGCCAGCTGGTCTGAATCAATGGAACCCGAATCCAGTTTCCTATAGCTCTGGAAGTCATTGCACAGTTTGGTTGCTTTCGATCTCAGTCGAGTTCGTGTTGCGATTAAATCGTCCATTTTTTTTTTAAACAAACTTAACAAATACTCAAAGTAAGTGGACTGTATTCAATGCAAGGTTCAAAATTTTAGACGAGCCTTTTGACTGTTATATGCAGGAGCGAGACGCTCACAGCGATACAACAAGGCGGGCAAAATGTCACGAAACCTGATGACTAGTAAACAATGTCAGCCCTCAACAGAGGCAGAATGCCCACAAATTAGGCTAACAAATGCCCACCAGTCATCCGGCCCGGAGGACCTATGTTAAAATCAGTCGCTTCCGGCTGGTTCACGCGGAAGTAAAAAATGTGATAAATCAAATCAACAGTTTATTGCAACTTCACTGTGCAATGACCAACGGTTGAAACAACAAACGAACCGATAACAGCTTCCAACCAACAACCTAAATCTCCAATCTACACCGCAGATCTGACTGCGACCGGACTAATGCCGAGAAGCAGTGACGCCTAACGGTGCTTTAGGAACGAACTCACAATCGATTTGGTTCAAGCTGAGAGTGACTCAGATTCTACCCGTTAAATTCCACCCTTTAAACCGGTTGTACCGGGATCATTGTAGCGCGCCACTTGCGCGGTAGTAAGTTAAATGTAGGGAGTCAGGTATTCAGAAGGGTTTCACTCATCTGTTGCTTTACATAAATTAATTTAGCAAAACTCTATCCGCCAGTCCGGCTGAGGCAGAACGCCCACAACCTTTCTGACCGCAACAGAGTTGGTATTGAATAAACACGGCTAAAGGCTAGAAGGAGCTAAAAGCTCACGACCAGAACTCAACCGCAAATATTCAATACAGCGTTACCTGCTCCCAACGAGCTCCAAGCAAGACTGCCGCTGGAACGCGCGGCCAACCCCCCGTCGCCTCCCCACCGCTCGGCACAACGCACACAACCAATCAGCGAACGCGAACGCACTCAGCGCCGTGCCCCAGACGCGTAGGCTAGCCCGCAGCGCACGCGGCCAGCGGCTGGGCCGCACCGCGCCGCCGCCGCCGAGCGAGCGGGGCTGCGGCGGGGAGGGGCGGGGGGAGAGAGATGCACAATGTCCATGGCTACATAATATGATAATATCACAGACATGGTTATATAAATTGACAGATCGTGCGTTCGCAACATGACAGCACTGATTACCTATTGACTAGTGATGTCGATTTCAGGTCATTGGGCAATCGGAAATCCGAATCAAAGCATTTTTCGACCAATCCCATGGTTAACTTACTGCCAAAAACCCAGCCAATTTTTTAATTGAGGAACTAAGAAAAACAACATTTTGCCGAATTCTGAGACTGTAACACATCAGTAAGAATTATCAAACTACGAAAAGTAGGCATTGCTATTCCAACTAAGTGTTGGCCTAATATTAGTCTACCATAATTTGTCAACCGATCGACATCTGTATTTTTTAACACTGACTACTGAGCCATCTGAACTCTCTTCCAAGTTCCACCGATACGCTACTGTCAAGGCCTGTCTGTTGCGGCATCATTGTCTAAATGACACCGTCCTACTGGTTTTGGTACTAATCCGGCGCGCCGTTGAGCAAAAGTAGCGAGGTGACTGGTTTCATCACGCTTAAGCACGGCTGCTGCCTGCTGGGGAGGAAAGGCTTTAGTCGTTCGCTGCCGGTCAGTCAAATGACATAGACCTCTCTTTAGTCGTGTGCTGTTGGTCAGTGGAAAGGACAGGAGTGTGGCTCCAGGACCCACTTTTATTCGTGAGATATCGGCCAGACGACCAGCCAAAGGACAGGGATGCGGCTGCCGCTTGCTGTGAGCGTCACGATGGTAAGTTCTAGCCACTAGGTAGTTTCAAATACTAAATGCATAAAGGCAATCAATGTCGCCATCCTGTTCGCCTTTTGTCGCGAAGCGGCCACCTGAGTGCTTCATTTTAAAGGTTACTCCGTGAGCTGTTCTGACCTTTTACTGACAGTGACAAAGCAGAAAAGCAGCTCGCGCTTGAACAGCATCACCTAATTGTTTCGCTCTCTCTCTCTCTCTCTCTCTCTCTCTCTCTCTCTCTCTCTCTCTCTCTCTCTCTCTCTCTCTCTCTCTCTCTCTCTCTCTCTCTCTCTCTCTCTCTCTCTCTCTCTCTCTCTCTCTCTCTCTCTCTCCCTCTCTTTCTCTCTCCCTCCCTCTGTCTCTCTCTCTCTCTCTCTCTCTCTCTCTCTCTCTCTCTCTCTCTCTCTGACTCTCTCTCTCTCTCTCTCTCTCTCTCTCTCTCTCTCTCTCTCTCTACCTCATTGAAGGAGGAGGTTGATCATGTAAAGTACTTAGGGCATATCATCAGTAATCATGCTTACTCAGATGACCTTGACATAGATCGGCAGTGTAAACAAATGTACAAACAGGGGAATGTGCTGATTCGTCGTTTTCACATGTGCTCGGTAGCAGCAAAGGCGCGTCTCTTTACAGCGTTTTGTTCATCTATGTACACTGCACACTTGTGGTCAAATTATCGCCAGTGTATGTTGCGCCGGCTGATGGTGGCTTACCATACGGTATTGAAAACTATGCTAGGCATTTCTAGGTACGAGAGTTCTTCTCACACATGTGTCGTGCACCGTGTTCCTCATTGTGCCGTTCTCATCAGACAGCGCATCTATAACTTCATGTGCAGGCTGAGTACATGTGATAGTGAGCTAGTAAAAAAGACTGAAAATTCGAGTGTGAAATACCGTTCTCGCCTGAGGCGCCACTGGCAACAGCAACTGTACGTTCATTTTAGCACATAGCTCTGCGCGAGTGCTGAAACAGGCCCGAATGATTGTTTGTGTGACATTTGGTTGTCTTGTCACTGCACTGGCTGAAACCATCAGTATTTAAGAGTATGGACCCAGAGTCTGAAATAAAGCTTATCTATCTATCTATCTATCTACCTCTCTCTCTCCTCAGGTGGCCGTTGTGACGCTGGCTGCAGATAACGCCACCTCGACTTCCTCTCAGCGTCAGAACAGGGCCCTGCTGGCGTCACCGGGGTCTTTTCACGTACTCGGTGATGTTCTGTTCGGTGATCCGTCTCACAAACATAAGGTAAGTGCTGGTCAGGAGCTGTTGGACCATGTGAAATGCATGTAATATCGTATGTAATATCGTAAGAGAGACAGGATCAAGATTGTATAAAGAGATCAGCCAGCTGGAAACAAGACGTCCAAAACCGCAAAATTAACGAACAAATGCTATTGTACAATGTGCATAGTCCGTAAACATAAAGGTAAAGCTGCCGAAATACAACATTTGTTTGTAAGGAGTAAATGTTATAGCGAAAATGTTATGCGCTTTTCAACGAAGGGTCACGGAATACAGCCTTTAAGCAGGATTTATACTGTAGAGAGCTGTCACAGCAGTAGCGGCGGAACATCTTCAATTAACCCTCGCCCTGGCAGGGCATTTTTCATAACACGGCCTGGCAGGGGGGTCGATGCGACCCCCCCCCTCGCGATTAACTCCTATGGCACCTAGAAACACCAAATTTGGTAGGTAGGTGGGCCCCCTGGAGTTCTCGCCCCTGTGCAAATTTGGTTGCTCTAGGTCAATATTTAGGGGGGTTTTGGGCACTGGCGGTCGCAGCCGCTAGCAAAAGGGGGTGCCAAAGTCACACTCGCGGGACGTAACATTTATCCGTCACGGGGGGGGGGGGGGGGGTGATCGGCTAATTTTTTACGTCCACGAGGTGCCGCGCAGTTGGCATTACTTATGCTTCATCCATCTGATTCTTGCGTGAAATCTTTAAGCTCAATTTAAGGCAAAATCACCAGTTCCATTTCCCGTCCCACGGTGCTTCCACCGGTCGGCCCACTGCACCATGACGACGGATCGGTGTAGCATAGGTAAAGGTATACTGGAAGGTCAGGCACGCGGATTCATGACCTTACCACTATAAAACAATTCGGAAAAGTACAGATACCTCTTGCTTTGAACAAGCATGTGAAACCCAGAGAGCATTTTCAGACTATGGCATTTACCCATATACATAGGTAACATACCTATGATAGTTGTGTGGCGGTGGGAGAGAGTAGGTACACCGACCTCTGGAGACCCCCCACAGGTTCCGAGCTTTCAAAATTGGCATCTGAGGGCCGCGCGCGACTCCTGCGGGGCTTCGCAACGGCTCTATTGAGGCTCACTCAACCTGCCTAGTCTTACTGCTAAAAAGACTGGCCCTGAGCCCTAAGGACTTCATCAGTCTCTGCCAGCCCCAGGACCCACACCGGCTCATGGGGTCCCGACGTCGAAATATTAGGGAATCTGCGCGAGACCATCAGGACGTAAAGTAATCTCGATCAGGACCAACGTAAGGCTGTGCCGGAGACTGCGTGAGCCCTCTGATCTTCAGAAACCCACCCATGTATGTTTTCACGTAGAGGCCAGTTTAGGGCCCACAGGGACCAGTACAGGGCCTGCAAACTACACAGACCAGTAGTTTGAGACAATCAGTGACCGTGTTGGGCTCTCAGAGGCTAATGTGGGTCATTACAGGCCAACATGGGCCCTCAGAGGTCAGCGTGGGGCCCTAAAAGACCGGCATGAGCCGTCGTTGGACCCCAGAGGCCAGCAGAGGGCCCTCAAAGGCCAAGCTGGGCCCTCCTCAGAGGCCAATGCAGGCCCTTGGAGGCCGGCATCGGGTCTTCAGCAGCCAGTGCGGGGCCCTCATTGGCACCTAAAGGTTCGTCTTGGGACACCACAGACAGAAATAAGGCCACCAGAGACCGGTGTGAGACCCTCAGACGCCGGTTGGGACCCCTGAGGCCGGTTAGGGGCCCTCATAGGCCAGATGTGGGGTCTCAGAGGTTGATGTAGGCTCTTAGCGGTCAACGTGGGCGCTTGACCGCCACTGAAGTTCCCTCAGAGGTCAGTGTAGGACGCTCAAAGACCGGTGTGGGAGCTATATTAATAGCTGGGCGTGGGTTTTTTGAGCCTCGTGACGATCGAATAATTGCCAGGGCCCCATACACCTATATGGGGGCCCATTGGTTGTTTGAGGGTTTGAGGGGGGGGGGCAAATGATATGATGGCCCCCTTTATTGACCTTTGGGGGGCATGGCCCTGATGCCCCCCCCCCCCCGCGACCGCCACTGTGTACACATTACACACATGCCTCTGAGATTACATACTAGCTCATGCAAACTCTATGCAGGCCCCGGAGTTCCCACGCTAATCCTTAAGAAACCAAGCCGGCATACGTCGTCACCACCTGGCTTCTGAGGTGCACAGCACCAACCCATGAGGTCTTACTTTAGTGTCTTAGAGCCAATCTCCTTTAGCAGGGCCCACCCACCACTGCCGAAGAGGGTCTCATTCCAGCCATTGCTGGGCCTACGAGAGCCTCAAGTAAACCCACGCTGATATTCCATATAAGATCCGGCCATACTCGTGAACCGGTGCCAGCGACGCTGACCGCCAAATTGACAGAATGCGAAACTGAGCCCACTCATGAGTGAAATTTACGTCCTTTGATGGCGCAAGAAAGAAAATGAAACATACGGAAAGCTTTTCTAGGACTTTTGTTCGATCTGAAAGGTGGGGCCAAAAGATAGTATGGCCCCACCTTTCAGCACCAAAGGGGGGGCCATGGCCCCCGTGGCCCCCCCCCCCCCTGGGACCGCCAGTGGTTTTGGGGTGTATAAATGTAAAAATTTCGCTAAAAACAGGTCAAAAGTTTTTCGCTTATAACTTTTGATCTAATTAAGATAGAGCAAAAAGAAAAGCACCAGTGAACTCAGCACGTCAAGGCGCGTCGAATGATATACTTTTTAGTGTACTTAAAGTGTACTTAAAGTTTTTCTTAATTTTTAAGTAAACTTAAATTAATAAATTAAGTTCAAGCTAACCAAATTGCATCATATCGCATATCATTCGATTCGGCTGATCACCAGGAACACAATGATACCATTTTTAAGCTCTATCGTCATTATGTGCCAAGTTATTGGCAAAAACGTCATTTGACCTCAGTTGACCTCATTTGACCTGACCCATGGATAAGTACACCAAACAAAGAAGCACCAAGTGACCTGCTGTTAAGTACTGTGGTTTCAAAGCACAAAAGTGATAGAACGAAGCGGATATCTCCAGTATTTTCCGAATTTAGTATTTTCCCATAGGCTTAACATTACGACGTAATGACCTCTAACTGACCTCAGGTCAGTGACCTAAAAAAAAACGAACTATATGTTATACAACTCAGTGAACTTAGCACATCCTGAAAGTTTGAAGGAAATCAGTCCAAAACTGTGAGCTGGACAGGTGCAAAAAGAAAATTGAAATTTGACCATGACCTTGTACCGGTTTTTCTGACCTGGTGACCTGACCCAAGGTCAACCGGACCTGAAATTTTCAGGTCATATGTAAAAAGGTTGCCCCATAGGCTGTGCCAAATTTGGCGGCGCTGCGCGCCGCCTTTTTTACGCTATCTTCGAAAAACCTTAGTGGGGGTCGCATCGACCCCCCCTGCCAGGGCGAGGGTTAAGGGGGGAGGCACTGCCGACTTTTGGTCCCATTCTTTCCGTGCAACGCCCATAGGGCTAATGTTAAAATGCCAAAATCAAAGGGGGCACGGTGCCCCGGTGCCCTCCCCGTTCCGCCGCCATGTGTCACAGAGTCACTGAACACCGACAATTAACAATCTAATGAATCGTTTGCCAGGGCTATTCTTTCTAAGTCATCTCCCTGTCTCTCAAAAAGCGCTGAAACGTGCATTCCTCCTCCAGATACCCTGGTGCAGCCCTGCCTCTCACACGGCAGCTCCGTGTGTTCCCCAGTACAAGCCCGAGTGTAGCCCTGTCTCTCACATCAGCCCCGTGTGTTCCCAGTACAAGCCCGAGTGTAGCCCTGTCTCTCATACATCAGCCCCTTGTGTTCCCCAGTACCAGCCCGAGTGCAGCCGGTTCCAGCCGTGCCGGCGCGGGTTCTGCGTGCTGAACCACTGTGTTGACTGCCAGTACGACGAGGACTGTCCCGCCGGCCGCGTCTGCGTCTCACAGAGCTGCGTTCAGTGCTCCGTCGACCAGCAGTGCCCGTTCGGCGCCCTGTGCCGGAACGGCGTCTGCGACGGGACGTGTCAGCTGGATAGCCAGTGCCGGCCGGGCGAGGTGTGTGTGAGCGGCCGGTGTCAGGCGGCAGTCACGGGACCTCTGGTGTGCACTGTGGACACCGACTGCCCCTCCCGGCTCTGCACCAGGGGCAGGTGTGAGAGGTGTGTGCTCGACTCCAACTGCCGCGTCGGCCGCTGCGTCGCCGGGGTGTGTGTTGGCTGCGTGTTCGATGCCGAGTGTGGTCCCCTGCAGCGGTGCGTGCTCGGCGTGTGTCTAGCGGGGGAGGTGGTCACTCCCGTCCTACCTGCCGGCTGTACCTCGGACCTCGAGTGTCCCTCACGCTCCTGTGTGCTCGGGGTGTGCTCCGAGTGCTCGGCCGTGTTCCCGTGCGCCGATCCCAGCGAGCTCTGTGTCGGCGGCGTGTGCCGGGCCCCCGGCGGGGTCGGAGCCACCTGTGTTGTCTCGCTGCAGTGTGCCGCGGGGGTCTGCGTCCTGGGGCGGTGCGTCGAGTGTGGCGCCGACTCTGACTGCGCGGGAGGGGAGTTCTGTTCGACCACCTCCCGGTGTGAGGCCCGGCGCGGTCTGCTGCGGCCCTGCACCGAGGACCGGCAGTGTCTCTCCGATATCTGCCTGGACCGTCGGCTCTGCGTGGACTGCATCACCTCACAGCAGTGTCCGCGGGACCACTTCTGCGCCCTGACCACCTGCCGACCCCTGGGCCTGTTCGACGCGCCCTGCCGCGACGACCTCGAGTGTGTCTCCCAGAGGTGCGGCCCCACCAACAGGTGCGTGCAGTGTCGACGGACCGTCGAGTGCAACGTGGGCCAGTTCTGCACGCTGGAGGGTGCGTGCCGGGATTTGTTCGCGCTCCAGACCTCGTGTACGGCCAACGAGCAGTGCCGCTCGGGCTTCTGCAGCGCGGCGCGGATCTGTGTGCAGTGTCTGCTGACCAGTCAGTGTCTGGCCGGTCAGATTTGTGACGCGGGCCTCTGTAGGACGGTGACATAAAGCGGACAACTGTGAACCGATGTGGTTGGTGAAAATTGTGTCAGTAAATTGGAAATAATGTTCCCGGGAGAGACTTGTGAATGGCCTGTAGGGAAGTTGAAGTTGCTAGTGTAGATATGAGGTGTGATGTATTTTCTGTTATTATCTTGTTATGAAAAGTGCGTGCTGGAGAGAGATGTTTGAACCTCAAGAAAAAACACACAATGCATCCAGACTCGTAAAACGCTTGTGCAACTGTTGACAATATGTACGATTGAACGCATATGCATTATGCAGGCTAGCTTTTTTAGATACAGAAACGGTGCATTTTCCATATCAAGTTTAAACGTCTCATTTCGACATTCTTTCGATGGTAGCGTAGATAAGTTGTGACATTTTGAAGATATTTCCCACAGCAGTGTTTGGCGAAATGACTTCTAAAAACGTCAATTCGATGGATTAAATATTGCACAGACCATGTTGTAATGAAACATAAAATGTCTGATAATGGATTGACAATCCTCTAATACCCGATCAGTAAATGTAAACCACTGGTGATTAGTGATAACAATCATGTTGCAAAAGTGGTAAGATTACGGAAATATGCAAATAAATCACATGGAAGGTAGGTATTGCGTATTTCTCGAGCCTTTGAATCATTACCACTAGACGATTTATCATCTGCTTTTGGTTATAAGCATCATCTTAGTTAGCTCCTCATACTGTTCCTGTTTTCATATGCACCTGACCATAGGATTTACACGCTCGGAACAGCTTCTTTTTTAATGACTTCTTAATTTTAAAAGATTTAAGGGTGGATGCTTCCACTGGCGTCCAACTGGCGTCTAACTGAGCAGACGTCTAAGTTGGCGTCTAACTTTGCGTCTTACTGTTGGACGGAGATTTCCAAGCTTGATGCGTCTAAAGCTAGCTGACGCCAGATAGACGCAACCGCCGTCCAGCCAGACGCGTCTATACACTTAGTAGACTATACACTGTAGACTTAGACGCGTCTAGCTAGACGCGAAATAGGCATAAACTGGGGAGAGATGGGCACAAAGCGGCGGATAGTTTTCCTTGGTGAGTAGTGGATGCTTCTCAAGTTGAAGTAGCGTCACAGTTTTCGTTAAACAATGCCAGTGACTTTTGTTCCTGTTTTCGTATTTCCCTCGACTTCCATTCATTCATTTCCGTTTGTATTAATTAATTCATGCATAAAATCATTCAGTTATTACTTTCTTAACCCTTGCCCGCACATGGGGGAGGGGGGTCCCCCCAGGTAGTTTTTCTGCTCTGCACTCAACATTTTTAGAGCTTGAAGCCTGATTTTTCGTATAGCTGCTCCTCTATCCTTTCTTGATGTCCACTGAACATTTCAAGTTTCTGTGGTGTTTGGTTTCGGAGATATGACCTTGTTTTTCAGGTCATGTCATGACCCAAATGACCAATTCTCAACATCTGGCGTTGGCTATGGGCCTTGTGAGCTTTTGACACCTTGATTTCGGCCTTTTTTGCCATTCTTATCTTCCACCCAGGGATGCGGCGTCGTGGAAATTTCAGACGGCTCCGGCTCCGGCTCCGGCTCCGGAGAAAAAATCGGCTCCGGCTCCGGCTCCGGCTCCGGGTGAAATGTCATGGCGGCTCCGGCTCCGGCTCCGAGTAAAATGATCCGGCTCCGGCTTCTACTCAGTACATCCCCTATGCGATCAATTAACCCGCGCGGGGCTGGGGTCTCCAGCCGAACGCGCGGGGCTGGGGGGGGGGGGTAAATTTTACCCCCCCCCCCCCCAGTTATCTCCCGAACTAATGGTCCGATTTGGAAAAATCAAACGCCAATCGAAAGATCTCATCACGAACTACTAAAAACATGTACTTAATTCAAAGTTTGAGGTCAAGGTCAAGGTCAGGTCAAGGGTACGAATTGCAAGTTTCTACAGTATCGGCCTTGCACCGTAGTTGCCGAAGAATGGAGTCATCGACTGAGACTGATTGCCCAAAACGTGTTCTTAGGCTACCAAGACAATATTCGTTGCATACAATATCATTCAGAGGCCAAGGTCAAGGTCAGGTCAGGTCAGGTCAGGTCACCAAAAAACAAAATTTAGAAAAGGGCATGTGCGACACATGTTTTATGGGTCATTTTACTCATAGAATTCAATAGGCACACTCAATAAGTGATATGGACCACCTCTGGATGAATTTCAGGTCGAGGTCAGGGCAAGGTCAGGTCAAGTGGAGTCAAATTTTGAAGTTGGTTGTTAAGGCCTAAAAAGGTGTCTATCTGATGCAGTTTTTCACGGCGAATCGAATGATGCTATTTTTGTTTCCGTACGAGGTCTAGAACTTCCAAAAAAATCATTTTTTCAAAATTTGTGTGTGTCTTGACGTCATAAAATCTTGAATAACTCCCACATTTTTGAACCGATTCTTCTAAAAATTGGTATGTAGGTGTACATAGACCACTTCTCTGACATATATTCCGGTTTTTTCGATACACTCAAAATTTTGGATTTTATAACTATTGTCCCAAAAAAGTCAGTTTTTTGAAAAAAATTGGGCCAAAATCCAAAAATTTTCAAAAAACCGAGATAGCCATTTGATAGACAAAGTAGAATTACGTATAACCTTTTTTGTTACGTCTTGATTCCTTTAAAAATGAAGATGTTAGCGGCGTTTGAACTTTTGCCGTTTTTGAGGCGAAAGTGGCGAACATGACGTCACTAAAACGTCAATTTCTCAAAAAAATTCCGACGGATTTCGCTCAAATTTTCAGGGAACGTGTCAAATTGATGTAAGAAAAGGTACTGAGCGCCGCCGTTTTTGAGATATTGCAAAAATTCGCGAGGGGGGATAACATTTACCCCCCCCCCCCCAGCCCCGCCCGTTTTTCGTACACCTTATCATACATCAATTCTACACATGTTGTGAAAATTTCAGACCAAAGTCATTCAAGGTCAGGTCACCAGGTCACTTGAGGTGACCTCACCTCATAAAAAGTTTCAATGTCTGTCATAGCTACACCGAGTGACCGATCGCTTTGAAACTTTCAGCGACTGCTAAGAGCAATAGCATGTACAAAATGTATATCTCAGAATTTTGATATCGATGACCTAAGGTCAGGTCAATTTTGCGACCTCCCCATTATAAGTCAATGGGAGAAAATTGAAATGCGCCTCTTTTGGACGAAATACATTATAAACACTCCCAAACACCGAATTGCAAGTGGTTTAGACACACTGGACATGAAAATGGTGTCCGTGACCCTTGTTTGTGCCCTGAGGTCATCTTAGGTCACGAATGGTATCTAACAGTTTTTCGCAAATAACTTTTGATAGAGGCATGCTAGAGCGATGAAAAGGCCTTATATGTGTTCAGCTCGACGATACGGATCGACTGATATGCAGCATGACCCTTTCCGGTCAGGTTATGACCTTGAACTGAGGTCAAATTTTCAAGTTGACCTTTCAAGGTCAAGTTATAGTTCCTTCGATGCGTCTTGACGAGAGGAACACGATGCCGGTGAAAGTAAACTCGTACAAGGCTTGGGTCAAAAGTTATTGCAGAAAAACTGTTTCCGAAAAAATCGGCTATTTTTGCAGTTTTTGCCCCCTGCAGGCAAAACCGTTGACGTTAGGTCAAATCTGAGAGAATTACTCAGAAAGGGCGTTAATAGGGCTATCGAATGCACTTTTCCGCAGCGCTGTAGCACTATTGGTTCCCGAGTTATGCGTTGGCTTCCTGGAAATTTTCGACATTCGACCTGGAAATCGGCGAAATTTTGCCTTCAATGACCTCTGGTGACCTGACCTTTGACCTGACCAAAAAATTGACCGAAGTGATTTCGTCATTATTTTTTACGCTCTTTCGAACGCCGCCTTCCACGTATCGCTACGTGGCCCAGGAGCCGAGTTACAAGGGGGGGGGGGTGTTCAAACCCCCCCCCCCAGCAGGGCGTGGAAATCCAGGACCCCCAGCCGGGCGCGGGTTAAATACGGGTGGAAGAAAAAAGGCGATGGGATTGGTACACGTTGCTTCTGTATTTGTATAACAAGGCTATTTTGAATACCACATTGTTTTACGTTTTGTACTGTCAAACCGAACTAGGTAAATAATTGTTTTCTCTTAAGAAATGGAGCCGGAGTCGCCCCCTTTTTTGACGGCTCCGGCTCCGGCTCCGGGTAATATTGTTTCACGGCTCCGGCTCCGGCTCCGGCTCCGGGCAAAATATGCCGGCTCCGGCGGCTCCGGCTCCGGCTCCGGCTCCGGCTCCGGCTCCGCATCCCTGCTGAGTTCCACCTATCATGGAACATGTTGTTCGACGATTTACAGATGTCAAGGTCAGGGTCAAGGTCAACCTAGGTCATCCAAAATAACTGCGTTTTAGGCAAGCTGAATTTACTTTTCGTGAAGTTTTTTGACTGCATTTTTGGTAAAAGCCTCTCAGATCATGAATTCATGTAATATGGACACATAAACAATCGGTGCACACATCATTATACACACAGACACACACAGACATACAAACACATATCATTGACCTTGACCTAACTTGACCTGAAATGACCTCAGCAGCAAAAACCTGATCGGATAGTGTGACAAAGAGGTTCTAGCTGGCTTGGCACTAGAAAACGGCATCGTCATCGGTATATGATAAGCAGCGCACTTGATATCCAGCGGTGACCCAAAACAGCAACATTTTTTAGTTTGACCTGACCTGGAAGGTCAATGACTGGCCTGGGAAGGTAAAACTGGGTATCATTGGATTCATCTCCTCCCAAAGAATCGTTTTGGTCTTTACCGCGAAGCTCTATCTCCAACAGGAACGAAATGGCGCAGGGGGGGGGTGTCAACTCCCCCCCCCCCATGTGCGTTCTAGGATGGGAAAATGGCATGTGCGGGCGAGGGTTAATTCATTGTTTTTATGTTCATTCATTCATTCATTCATGCTTGCATGGTAGCTTGTTCGGCAGTGGCACTGACAAACCTTACTTACGAGTAAAAACAAGGTTGTCTCGTATGTCGGACAACCTTGTTCCTCAAAACGAAATAGTTGCCCTATGCACCCGCCAAAGGAGCAGTGGGCCATTTTCTAATCTTTCATAGTCCACTTGAGACATTAGAACCGATTCTACGCAACCATTAGTTTTACCTCTGTCGGCAACTTTCAAAGCCGTAGTTTTCGTAGTTCACCGTGTGGTGTCGCTGCTGTAGATGAGCCTGCAGTCGATTTTAGGACTAAAGTACGTATCGCTAAAGTACGTAGGACAAAAGTACGTATGCAAATGTTCGTACGCAAATATACGTAGGCGATAAAGTTCGTATGCCAAAAGTACGTACGCAAATGTTCGTACGCAAAAGTACGTATGCAAAAGTACGTAGTGCATAAAGTACGTATGTCAAAAGTACGTACGCAATTGTTCGTACGCAAAAGTACGTATGAAAAAGTACGTAGTGCATAAAGTACGTATGCCAAAAGTACGTACGCAAATGTTCGAACGCAAAAGTACGTATGCAAAAGTACGTAGTGTAAAATGTACGTATGCCAAAAGTACGTACGCAAATGTTCGTACGCAAAAGTTCGTATTCAAAAGTACGTAGTGTATAAAATACGTATGCCAAAAGTACG